ACGCTACCAACGACACTAAACTCTTGGTAGCATCTCGAGGGTCCTAGTGTAGTTACTAGTGTGCCAGTTGTGTGTGTTAGCGAGCTCTGTGTTCATTGTATTACGTTTTATTTTTATTATTAAACGTAATAAAATAATAAAAATGTATAAAAAATTAATTAATTATAAAATAATTACTTATTTTTTAAAATAATAATTTTATTATGTTTTATTTTGATTTATTTTGTTTTATTTTTGTATTATTTCCATTCTACGTAATAAAAATAAAACATAATAAAATAATTATTTTATTATGTTTTAATGTTATTATAAAACATAATAAAATAATTAATTGATTACGTATAATACAATAATTATTATAATAAAATAATGTTTTTATTATATTTTATTTTTATTATAATAAAAATAGTAAATTAATTATTTTGTTATGTTTTCTTTTGATTATTTTATTATTTCCATTCTACGTAATAAAAATAAAACATAATAAAATAATTATTTTAGTACGTATAATAAAAAAAATACTTTATTATGCTTTATTTTGATTTTTTTTATTTCCATTCTACGTAATAAAAATGAAATATAATAAAATCATTTTGCTAGTATGTATAATAAAATTATTATTTTATAATGTTTTATTTTGATTTTTGTATTATTTCCATTCTACGTAATAAAAATAAAACAATAAAAAAATTATGTTAGTATGTATAACAAAATAATTATTTTATTATGTTTTATTTAGATTTTTTTTTATTATTTCCAACCTACGTAATAAAACATAATAAAATAAATATTTTATTATGTTAAATAATTATTTTATTATGTTTTATTATGATTTTTTTATTATTTCCATTCTACGTAATAAAAATAAAACATAATAAAATAATTATTTTTGTATGTATATTTTTGAAATATGTTTTATTTCTCGTCACATCTCTTTCGCCTTAACTGGGGCTTCAAAACAGCAAAATCGAGGGCGACGAGAGGTCAAGCTGGTTCACCAATGTGAACATGTCACCAACAATAACGCTGGCGCGTTACATTTAAAATTTTATTTAAGAAAAATATTCCTCGTGGAGGATGCGGGAATCGAACTTAACATCGAAGAGTTCAGTGCGTTTAGTGGCGTGCTCACGCTACCAACGACACTAAACTCTTGGTAGCATCTCGAGGGTCCTAGTGTAGTTACTAGTGTGCCAGTTGTGTGTGTTAGCGAGCTCTGTGTTCATTTTATTACGTTTTATTTTTATTATAAAACGTAATAAAATAATTATTTTATTATGTATAATAAAATAATTATTTACTATGTTTTATTTTGATTTATTTAGTTTTATTTTGATTTTTGTATTATTTCCATTCTACGTAATAAAAATAAAACATAATAAAATAATTATTTTATTATGTTATAATTTTATTATAAAACATAATAAAAGAATTAATTTATTACGTATAATAAAATAATTATTATAAGAATTTTTTTTTATTATATTTTATTTTTATTATAATAAAAATAGTAAATTAATAATTTTGTTATGTTTTCTTTTGATTATTTTTTTATTTCCATTCTACGTAATAAAAATAAAACATAATAAAATAATTCTTTTAGTACGTATAATAAAAAAAATACTTTATTATGCTTTATTTTGATTTTTTTTATTATTTCCATTCTACGTAATAAAAATGAAACGTAATAAAATAATTATGTTAGTATGTATAATATTAGATTTTTGTATTATTTCCATTCTACGTAATAAAAATAAAGCAATAAAATAATTATTTTAGTATGTATAATAAAATAATTATTTTATTGTTTTATTTTGATTTTTTTATTATTTCCAATCTACGTAATAAAACATAATACAATAATTATTTTAGTATGCATAATAAAAGATTTATTTTATTATATTTAATTTTGATTATTTTATTATTTCCATTCTACGTAATAAAAATAAAACGTAATAAAATAATTATTTTAGTATGTATATTTTTAGAATATTTTTTATTTCTCGTCACATCTCATTCGCCTTAACTGGGGCTTCAAAACACCAAATTCGAGGGCGACGAGAGGTCAAGCTGGTTCACCAATGTGAACATGTCACCAACAATAACGCTGGGGCGTTACATTTATATAAAAAAATATATTCTCCATGGAGGAGTCGGGCATCGATCCGGCTACCTTAACAACGGAGTGCTCAGTATAATTAGTAGCATGCTCACGCTACCAACTACGCTGATCACTCCGTAGCATCGCGAGGGTCCTAGTGAAGTTGGTAGCGTGCAAGTTGTGTGTGTTAGCGAGCTCTGTGTTGAATAAATGTCAAAAATAATATTCGCCTGTGGAGGATGCGGGCATCGAACTCGCCACCTCTCTCAAGGTCCCCTCGAAGGATGTGAGAGTCACGTGGGGTCTGTGGTGCAATGGATAGCGCGGCTGCCTGCGGATAAGACGGTTGTAGGTTCGATTCCTGCCAGGCTCGATATGTATATTGTTTATAGGTATTTTTTATTTCTCGTCACATCTCTAACGTCTTAAAGGGGCTTTAAAACAGCAAAATTGAGGGCGACGAGACGTCAAGCTGGTTCACCAATGTGAACATGTCACCAACAATAACGATGGATGTTACATTTATAATTTGATTTTAAAAAAATCCTCGTGGAGGAGGCTGGCATCGATCCGGCGACCTAAAGATCGGAGAACTCAACGTACTTAGTGGCGTGCTCACACTACCAGGTACGCTGATGTCTCCGTAGCATCGAGAGGGTCCTAGTCTCGTTGGTAGCGTGCAAGCTGTGTGTGTCATCTTCTTGGTTCTTTCGGTAAAGTCACGTAGAATGGAAATAATAAAAATAAAAATAAAACATAATAAAATAATTATTTTATTATACATAATAAATAATTATACATAATACATAATAAAATAATAAAATAATTATTTTATTATGTATAATGATTATTTTATTATGTATAATAATTATTTTATTATGCATAATATAATAATTATTTTATTATGTTTTATTTTTTATTATTGGCTCAGATGGTAGCGCGCTCGAGAAAAGAGAAGTGAACACATCTCAAATGCACGTCCAGTACAAGGATAGACGGTGTGAAATGTCTTACTAACAACACAGAGCTCGCTAACACACACAACTGACACGCTAGTCACTACACTAGGACCCTCGCGATGCTACGAAGAGTTGAGTGTAGTTGGTAGCGTGAGCACGCCACTAAAACACTAAACTCTTCGATGTTTAGATCGCCGGATCGATTCCTGCATCCTCCACGAGGAATATTTTTTTAAATCAATTGTTTAATGTAACGTCCATCGTTCACATTGGTGAACCAGCTTGACCTCTTGTCGTCCTCGATGTTGCTGTTTTGAAGCCCCTGTTAAGACGTTAGAGATGTGACAACAACAACAACAACCACAAGACAACTTAGATTAAGGCCATCAGTCTAACTCTGTACTACAACAAACATGGCTAAACCAATACACTTTTCGAAATCACCAAAATAAAGCCATGAAAGCAAAAATGTCGATCAACAATGTTTCTTTTAATAAACAGCAAATCCCAATCAAGCGGTCAGTGCCTTGCCCAATGGACTCATTAATGTGTAACGTTTTCTATTTGAATAAATGTAAAATAAGAACAACCCGTAAAAACAAAGTTTTTCACTCTAAATCCTTTATATGCGTGGCGGCTAGAGTCCTCTCGTCCTCTGGCTTGAGATGGCTGCCACCTATGGGTCAGATGATTGCATTGCACCATTAAGCAATTGGTAATAAAATATTTTATTTGTTTTCCCTAAACAGTGTAAAATTTTTGACATTTTTTTTTCACGAACATTAATTGTCTCGCACAACGAGTCTGTGTGCAAAATGTCAGCTCGATTGGATCACGGGAAGTGGGTTAAAAAACGAGCGAAAGATTTGCACGGTCCTAAGCAAGCAAGCAAGTGAACTGAATATAAAGGATTTAACAAAATGTATTCGCCTGTGGAGGACGCGGGGATCGAACCCGCGACCTCTCGCATGGGAAGCGAGACTGCGCCACTCGCCCAGCGCGTGAAGGTGTCACGCGCTGGGCTCCTACACGGTGACGTTCAGCCACATCCATGATGAGTTCCAGATGTGAAGCTTTCGTGACTGCAATGATTCATACTCTTAGGCTTTTTTCGGTCAAGTCGCTTATTAAATTGTAGATTTGAAGCTTTCGTGACTGCAATGATTCATACTCTTAGGCTTTTTTCGGTCAAGTCGCTTATTAAATTGTAGATTTGAAGCTTTCGTGACTGCAATGATTCATACTCTTAGGCTTTTTTCGGTCAAGTCGCTTATTAAATTGTAGATTTGAAGCTTTCGTGACTGCAATGATTCATACTGTTAGGCTTTTCTCGGAAAAAGTCACTTATTAAATTCTAGATTTGAAGCTTTCGTGACTGCAATGATTCATACTCTTAGGCTTTTTTCGGTAAAGTCATTTATTAAAGCAAAAAACCCACGACGTTTAGATCGCAAAACATTAACATAATTTATTAATGACGTCCGTTAGAGTAGCCACTCGTTGTGGGAGGGGCTGTTGCTGGTACCCCGGGAGTGACGTCATGTCACCTGCTGCCGCGTGACGTCACAGGCTGCAGCTTCGCGCGTGCAGTGAAATCCGAGGTGAGAAATTCTCATCGCGGTTGTTGTGGTTGTTGTTGTGGTTGTTGTTGTTGTGGTGGTTGTTGTTGTTTACCAAGCTAGAGCCTCGCTCTCTCTCTCGTAGGGATGTCAATAGAGCAGCAGCGAGCTTGTGAATCGATGTCCAAGTTGGAACTTTACAACGCGGGGCCTAGACACGCGGGGCCTAGACACGCGGGGCCTTGCCTCCTGCCCTCGCCTGGTCGCGTTTGCTTTAATTCCCTCCCTTAAGTTTAATTTGTCTTCACGCGGCTCGCTACTTTGTCACTTTGGTTTATTGTAGATATTGACGCAGTTTTTTTTTCGTTTTTTTACCAGCCCAAGCCCGCCTGAGCTGCTATACCGCTCTTGTTTACAGAAGCTACCTGCCCACAACACAAAGGTGGGTTTTGTCAACGCTTGTCTCGGTGTTTTGACTTAAAACTTTAGTAATTGCAGCAATTCATATTCTTGGTTCTTTCGGTGAAGTCACGGAGATAGAAAATTTTGTAAAATAACATAATAAAATGAATAAAAGTAAACAAAATTGTAAATAAATAAAAAAAACCCACGACGTTTCGACAACACAAATGGCCTTTATTTGATGTTATTATCTGTTGTTATTGTCTATCTACGTAACTTTACCGAAATAACCAAGAATACGTGTGGAAATGTGTATCGGTCAAAGACGCTGCACGCGTGCTGATGTTGACTCTAAATGTGGAGGGGAAACCCGGGAGATTCGGAGGAAAATCCACGCGACCACGGAGAGAGAGAGACACGCAAACTCCAAATATACAGCAGCAGCAGCAGGCGTCAGGGTCGGGATCGAACCCACGACTTCCTGTATACCAGGCGAGGTAGTCAACATCTCACCACGGAGAGAGAGAGACACGCAAACTCCAAATATACAGCAGCAGCAGGCGTCAGGGTCGGGATCGAACCCACGACTTTCTGTATACCAGGTGAGGTAGTTAACATCTCACCACAGAGATACGAGGGCTTCCAGGCATTTTTATGACCATTTGCACTCTCATTGTGTGCAATAACAGCCTGTGTGATGAATTTGGAAAACTTTTTCACTACATCATGAATATATGAATAAGTATAGACGTGTAAGTCACGTGTGACTGTGTATATGCATTACTCTGTGTCTGACGTGTAGGTGGTGTGGATATAATTTTTTTCTGTCTGCAGCTGTCGCTTGGTCTGATGGAGCAAAGGCGCTCAGCACAGCTCAGTACGGCAAGGCAACAATGCGACCGGCGTGGATACAGCACGGAGCGGACTGGAAATTTGACACAGCACCAGAGAGCTCACGCAGGAGAGAAACCCTTCAAGTGCAGTGTGTGTGGGAAGGCATTTTCACGGTCATATTATCTTAAAAGACACCAGAGAGCACACACGGGAGAGAAACCCTTCAAGTGTAGTGTGTGTGGGGTGGCATTTTCACAGTCAAATAATCTTAAAAGACACCAGAGAACACACATAGGAGAGAAACCTTTCAAGTGTACTCTGTGCGGGAAGGCATTTGCACAGTCATCTTCTCTTAAAAAACACCAGAGAATACACACGGGAGAGAAACCCTTCAAGTGCATTGTGTGTGGGAAGGCACTTTCACGGTCATCTGTTCTTAAAAGACACCAGAGAACACACACAGGAGAGAAACCTTTCAAGTGTACTCTGTGCGGGAAGGCGTTTTCTTTTTTACATCATCTCGTAAGACACCAGAGAACACACACGGGAGAGAAACCCTTCAAGTGCAGTGTGTGTGGGAAGGCATTTGCACATTCATCTACTCTTGTAACACACCAAAGAACACACACGGGAGAGAAACCCTTCAAGTGCACTGTGTGTGGGAAGGCATTTTCACAGTCATCTTCTCTTATAAAACACCAGAGAACACACACGGGAGAGAAACCCTTCAAGTGCACTGTGTGTGGGAAGGCACTTTCACGGTCATCAGATCTTAAAAGACACCAGAGAACACACACGGGAGAGAAACCCTTCAAGTGCATTCTGTGCAGGAAGGCGTTTTCAGATTCTTCCAATCTTCAAGTACACCAGAGAAGACACAAGCATCAGAAGATCCACAAGGACTGGAGTGTGAAATCAGCTTGTGAAAGTCAAAGTGCTGCAATGAGCCCATCCCTCATCAAACAAGAACCGGAAGAAAATCCCAGCTTGGACACTTTTAAAGGTACCAAGGTGAAATATGAAGAGGTGAAGGTGGAATGTGAAGAAGTGATGGTGAAGAGTAAAGAAGTGAAGGTAAAGTGTGAAGATGAAGATTCAAGTCCAGAATGTGACCTTCACATGGATGGAGGCAACGTGAAGCAGGAGGAGAATTCTGACTGAGGCAGAGCGAGGCAACTCCCAGCAGTTTGTGGAAGTGGAGGTGTCGGTGGACTTCCTCCGAGACAATACAAAGTGAAATGGGGACCCGGTAAATGTGTAAGCCAGAGACGATGTCGCTCCAATAGATGCACCTTTGTCACAGGCCTTTAATGACAATAACGTGAAGTTGAACACTCAGTTCCTAGGTTCAATCTGCAGGGTAAGGGTGGCCAGTCTTTGTGGACCTGTGTGTTGGGTATATCTCTGAGAGCCAATAAGCTTCCAAGCATTCACGATGTTATAATTGCTTTTACATGGTGCTGACTTAATCCGCTCAGCAACTCGGAGTTTTGTATCGTACCTCGTCTCAAACATTCTAAGAGCACCCCAAGTAGCAGCTGCCCCTGTGTGGCACAAGGTGGTGGCCCTGCACCGGCCTGAATATTGTCAAGAGCCTGTCAGTAGGGGGCGATGATTGATCTGTCATCTCAGCTGTGTCGTTTGTAGGTAATGTTTAGAATTTGCTAAATTTTTGACCCAGACGCCAACATGCAAAGGCCTACTCGTTTTGAATTGCACAATTGTGTGTTTCACATCCACTGTTCAGTAGAGGGTGCATTCTTGAAATAGCTCCTTGTTAATAAGATGTTATCTAAACTAAATTGTTCAATTTTGGAAGAAGGTAATCAACCAGGTAGGGTGTTGACTGTTGTGTTGGGTGACTCTGTGTTGTGTTGCATTATATTTATAAGTTCACTATGTTTGTGTTTTCATTCACTTGTACCTGACGATGGTTGCTTGTGTTCCAATCGAAACGTCGTTTTCTATTAAATTTCGTTCTACGTGACTTTACTGAAAGAACCAAAGAATAAGATGTTATCTGATGCAGTATATTTCACTGCAGTAATTCAATTTTGTGCATATGCCTGTCAATAATTTAGAATGAAAACTTGTCTGTGTGCGTACATGTAACACACACTGTACGTACACAATGCACACACACAGTGTACACACACAGTGTACACACACAGTGCGTACACACACTGTGTGTACACACAGTGTCCATCGTCCCTTTGATGCGGTGAAGTTGTCCTGTCCCATTAGAAAAACACCCCCTAAGCATGTTTCCACCTCCATGTTTGACGGTGGGGATGGTGTTCTTGGGGTCATAGGCAGCATTTTTCCTCCTCCAAAGACGGCGAGTTGAGTTGATGCCAAAGAGCTCAATTTTGGTCTCATCTGACCACAGCATTTTCACCCAGTTGTCCTCTGAATCATTCGGATGTTCATTGGCAAACTTCAGACGGGCATGTAAATGTGCTTTCTTGAGCAGGGGGACCTTGTGGGCGCTGCAGGATTTCAGTCCTTCACGGCGTAGTGTGTCACCAACTTTTTCTTGGTGACTATGGTCCCAGCTGCCTTGAGATCATTGACAAGATCCTCCCGTGTAGTTCTGGGCTGATTCCACACCGTTCTCATGATCATTGCAACTCCACGAGGTGAGATCTTGCATGGAGCCCCAGGCCGAGGGGGATTGACATTTCTTTTGTGTTTATTCCGTTAGCGAACATATATCGGTGGCATTGCCCCAGAAAACAGTCAACAAAACTGTGTCTCCGTCTCTTTATTTCGTCGTGTCGCCTGGTTGACTTAGGGGCTGGGGCGGGGAAACCAGCATACGCTCGCATTACAATTACTTCACGTAGCTGCACTGTTCATGAACATCAGCGGGTCAATGTTGCGATGGACCTCAGTTTTGCACAGGACACTTTTGCTTTGATAGAGCATTTTAATGACCTGTGATACCTTGATAATGCATGTGGTCATGAAAGTCCGTTTTGTACTGATAATTGGCTTTGCAGAGTTGAATACTGTCAGCACAATGATGTTAGCTGTGGCCTGGATTCGAACTCGGGCCGCCAGGTTCATAGCGAAGCGTCGCAAACGGAATGATCCTCAGTCGTGATTTATTGTAAGGCGGAGTTGTGCACCATCTGATGAGCGTGTAATGCATTGGACAATGCAAGCGGTGTAAATTCATTTCTGATATTGATGAGACCATATACAATGAGTGTCTGTGCAAGAATGTGAAAGTCAATCAATATCAATCAAAAATTAGCAAACTGTCATTTTGTACTTTATTGCATAATTTGTAAACGTGAACATTTTTTAACATAATTATGCATTATTTGCAAAAGTTACCACCCCTTGCATGGTTAATGCAAAATGTGCATTTGTGTGCAGTTACCAATATTAACTGTGCAATGCAGGATATGCGACACGATGCAGCGAAGTAGTGCACTTTATATACATAAACAATTATTATATAAGTAGAAGACATTATTTCCAACATTCTGAATATTCTTTACGTGCAATCATGTACAACGCGTCCCGTCATGGCACGCAATAAGCACGCATCTGCATTAGTAAATGCGTTGCACGCGTAACATTACCGCTGAACCAGCAACACGAGACATCCACGCGTCCCCTGCCACCGCCCTCCGCCGCCGTCTTGCAGGTCGGGCAGCAAAAACATAACACTTCTGAGAATTTGCAACAACACCAACACCATCAACACCACGAGAAATGTGCCTGTGAGCACCTGGAGACCACGTGGAGAAGACTCCAGGCCACGCGTTGACAACGATGTTGAACAAGTGGAGAATCGTTGACTTTGTCAAGCTACTAACTGTACTACCCGGCTTCGCCCGAGACTTGGATCCACCATGCCCGGCCGCCTTTGTCTCCCCAGTGGCGACGTTCACACACTGCACCAGTTACTCGTTTGAGGCTGAGTCGACCTAGCGGAGGCCCAGGACCGGTTCAAATAATCGTCACCGGCGGTGGCCGTGAGCGGGAATCGAACTCGGGTCGCCGGGTTCGTAGCGCGGCGTAGCGCTAATCGCTGCGCCACGATGCGTGACGCTTCCACACGCGTGGGTCACGTGACAGATGTGAAGTACGCGGCCGCAGGAGGAGGGTGGACGTCCTCCCTGGCGACGATCGCCGAGGGTGGCGGCGGCGGCAGAGTGCGTCTGTCGCGGCAGCGGCACCGCGGGTGAGCCACCGAGTCGGGTGAGCCACCGAGTCGGGTGAGCGACCGAGTCGGGTGAGCGACCGAGTCGGGTGAGCGACCGAGTCGGGTGAGCGACCGAGTCGGGTGAGCGACCGAGTCGGGGCACCGCGGGTGAGCGACCGAGGTGGGTGAGCGACCGAGTCGGGTGAGCGACCGAGTCGGGTGAGCGACCGAGTCGGGGCACCGCGGGTGAGCGACCGAGTCGGGTGAGCGACCGAGTCGGGTGAGCGACCGAGTCGGGTGAGCGACCGAGTCGGGGCACCGCGGGTGAGCGACCGAGGTGGGTGAGCGACCGAGTCGGGGCACCGCGGGTGAGCGACCGAGGTGGGTGAGTGACCGAGTCGGGTGAGCGACCGAGTCGGGGCACCGCGGGTGAGCGACCGAGTCGGGTGAGCGACCGAGTCGGGTGAGCGACCGAGTCGGGTGAGCGACCGAGTCGGGGCACCGCGGGTGAGCGACCGAGGTGGGTGAGCGACCGAGTCGGGGCACCGCGGGTGAGCGACCGAGGTGGGTGAGTGACCGAGTCGGGTGAGCGACCGCGCACGGGATCCAGGTCGGGCTGCGGCCACAGCCGCCACCACCGGCAACGTCGACGTCGCTCTCATCGGCTCACTTGTTTTCCCTCAACGTCAGCGTACCTGCACGTTGGGAGAGTAGCACGTGTAGTTGTGTGTGCAGTGTGTGTAGTGTACGTAGCGTGCGTGTGTGTGTGGTGTGTGTGTAGTGTACGTAGCGTGCGTGTGTGTGTGGTATGTGTGTAGTGTATGTAGCGTGTGTATATGTGTGTGTAGTGTATGTAGCGTGTGTATGTGTGTGTGTAGTGTACGTAGCGTGTGTATGTGTGTGGTGTGTGTGTGTGTAGTGTATGTAGCGTGTGTGGTGTGTGTGTAGTGTATGTAGCGTGCGTATGTGTGTGGTGTGTGTGTGTGTAGTGTGTGTAGCGTGTGTGTGTGTGTGTAGTGTATGTAGCGTGTGTATGTGTGTGTGTAGTGTATGTAGCGTGTGTATGTGTGTGTGTAGTGTACGTAGCGTGTGTGTGTGTGTGGTGTGTGTGTAGTGTATGTAGCGTGTGTATGTGTGTGGTGTGTGTGTAGTGTATGTAGTGTGTGTAGCGTGTGTATGTGTGTGTGTAGTGTATGTAGCGTGTGTGTGGTGTGTGTGTAGTGTATGTAGCGTGTGTGTGTGTGGTGTGTGTGTAGTGTATGTAGCGTGTGTATGTGTGTGGTGTGTGTGTAGTGTGTGTAGCGTGTGTGTGTGTAGTGTATGTAGCGTGTGTATGTGTGTGGTGTGTGTGTAGTGTGTGTAGCGTGTGTATGTGTGTGTGTAGTGTATGTAGCGTGTGTGTGGTGTGGGTGTAGTGTATGTAGCGTGTGTGTGTAGTATATGTGTGGTGTGTGTGTAGTGTATGTAGCCTATTAAAACTCCCCTCCCGTGACATCACAACATAATACAGATGGTCATCTATTCTTAGGTGTTTTCGGTAAAGTCACGTAGGCAAAACATCAAAATTAATGAAAAATAATAAAATAAAATAAAGATCTTTATTTTATTTTATTATTTTTATTTTAAAAAAATCTTTATTTTATATTATAATTTATAAAAATAATAAAATAAAGATCTTTATTTTATTTTATTATTTTTATTA